CAGTTAGCCTACTAATACAGATGCAATTGGAAATCGACTCATATGGACAACTTACCGGCATAATCGTTATTTGATTTCATAAGTTAGACTAAAAGTAGTACTAATATTAACATTTCTACAATATTCATAACTTTAATATTTCTAAACACAAAATACTTACTACCTATAAGTTAAGTTATTAACCAACGACTATTAACACGCATCGTTTTATTATTATTATTGTAATCCCATTTTTTTATAGCTCAAATAATCACTCAAATTTCTATTGTAAGCATGAAGGCAGATATTTTAAAATTATTACATGTATTTCCCGACCAGATGCTACCGTCTTCTTTTTGAATTATCTTTCAGCTTGTCATCACCCGGAGGATTATTACTAGTCTTGGTAACCTTCGGGACACTACAGTCCCATCCAATTTGGTATCGAACCAACACCACGTTGATTCTGGTGGGAGAGTAGTGTAGTGGCATTGGACCATAACCACACAATCCTCAAAGCTGAATACGAGATTACTCAGAAAATAGATATTCAATATTTAACGCGAAGAAATACCTAACAATGGAGAAGGCGCGAATAATGAATTGAATAGACTAGAGTTGATCGAACGGCATGGCTCGGCCATGCAGGCGTGGTCTCTGTTGAATGTTACCTTATATCTTCTTTTCATATTAAATATATTGTTCTTTCTCTAGCCTAACCTTGTTCTACATCATGTATTGGTAATTGATACGATACAGTGAGTTGGTGTAGTCAATGGTGTGACTTCCACGTAAGATCTTATGGATTAGGCAGTCATATCATGACAAATCTACAAATTTAGGATTAGGACTATTATTAGAGCAGTACTAATATCATAGTAGCCCATAAGTTATACACGTTAACTGACTAATTATATCTTAACCTGTGTCCACTTAGCAAGGTTTATGTAAAGAAATTCATTCTAGTTTGCACTGTTTTTCATTTTAGCATACTTTCAAATGTTTTTAGGTACAAGGAGTTCATATTCCAATGGCCGAATACTACAGCCGAGACAATGGCACACCAGTGGATCGTGGTAACATGGAGGTCTGTCACAAGTCCGAAGACAATTGTACTACGGTTGCTGGCAAGGAGTATCGTCAACCCCACTATAACCATGTAAACAATAAGGATGATTGTCGTCTGATTTCTGCATCCAGTGAGAAGAGACAGTCACCTCAGACAAAATATGACTCCAGAGACAATGGTCGAAGTCGCAGTAGCAAGCGCGGACGACGTTCACGTAGTCGTGACCATCGACGGGCTGCAATTAAACGCAACTCAATTTCGTAAATGTGCCTTTCAGCTTAGCAACCAATCAGAATGTGGCGGGAATTATTATATCCGCCATCTTTGTACGTAATGACGGCCGGCTTTCTTCGTTCTGTGCTTCTTTTAGCTATTACTTTTGTGTAGCTATGTAATTAATATTTCAATGTGCTAAGATGCCGCAGTTAGTGTAGGTTTCTACACGTTGGTGTGAAATTTACTTCGAATCAGCATTGTATTTTGGGTTTTTGCTGCTTCTACTCTAGTCAATGTATTTCTTCAGTCAAGCTGGTTAGTCTTATGTTTTAAAATGGAAATCGGTTTAGTTTTGACTTGTTTTAAAGATATCAAAAGCCGAAGTTCGTTTTTTCTTAGCTGAAATAACTGTTGCTGCGTCCTGTGACTGACTGTCCGCATGTTCATTCCTAACTGTCCTCTATGATGTTATCGGCAAAATGAAAGGAAACAATTTCCGGTATTTAATTTTCTTCAGTATTGCGGACAACAATATCCCACCAATGAGTCAAACTAATACTTAGTGCCTAGCCGTAGGGGATGTCAGTATTGTTTTCGAAAGTACTCAGGCTTCCGACAACCATAGACAAATTCACAGATGCTACCAATCTATTGCAGAGGGTTAGTTATGAAAAAATATGCCACATAGCAGTAATGGAGGGGTTGTACGCATTACGTAGTGCGTTAAAGCAAGCTTAACATTGAAAAGCCGGAAATCTGTTATCAGTGTGTAGTGTATGTTTGCTGTTTCGGCCACAAAAGGAAGCCGAAGGGTCATGATCAGGGAGTAAAAAGGTAACTAACTGTTATTAAGCTCAGCTTTTTATAGACCATAATTCACCACTCGCAAATTTGTTATTTTTACGGTATGATGTCAACCGTTATCTAATATGTTCACCTTTACGATGAAAAGTACTTGCAAATTCTCAACTTCATATTCGAATTAATTTGTGACAACTGTCTTCCAGTTTGAGTGCTTTGTACGCCCTGGGAGACTAGATTCCTACATTATTCACAGTTCCAGTATAACTTTCTCACACAGTAAGTTCAAAGTAAACACTAGTCTTTCTAAATAAGCATGTTAAGCTAATATCCGTATTCTCTATTTCAGATGATCGATGAAGACATGTACCACGTGCATCTGTTGTATATTGTTATTTTACTCCAATTCTTACTGTTATATCTTCTGAAAAATAAAATTGCTATATGCAGCAAATACAGACTTATTGTTTTGATGGTGGTAGGGGGGTTCATGGGTTTTTTAGCAGGACTGTAGTGATATTCCCATTAAAGAGCTAAGTGAATGCGTAGACCAATGTAAAGTACCATACAGGGTGCCTTCGAATTACTCGTGTTCCATTAGTGTCGGTAGAAGCATTACTTGCTTATCATATGACATTTGAATAAGGAGCTATGAGATTAGATGCAGGGACGGTTAGGATGTGTAACGCGTGTCCATCCATCAGTTTTCGTGGCAACTCACGGTGGCTAGAATAAGTTGTGAGAGGACCCGAGCCTGTAGGTTTCCTAAGAAAGTGACGGAGATATGCACCAAATCACCTTATGAAGAGCGCCTCCAATCACTTAACCTCTACTCATTAAAGTATAGACGTCTTAGAGGTGACCTATTTACTTACAGGATCCTTAACACTTCTGGACATTTTCTTAAACACCTATCTGAGCTTAGTCCCAGAAACTAGAGACACGACATAGCAGAATGGACTGTAGACGCAACTTCTACTCCTTAAGAGTTGTCGAATGCTGGAATTCGCTGCCCGCCGAACTAGTCCAAGCGAATTCCCAGGAGTCCTTTGGGAGACGACTGGATCTTTTATTGTTAACATACCTAGGTTCCTGCTTGGAGGTTTTGGTGATCCCCTGCTACTAGACACGGAAGCCTGAACACATGAATTAGGTGATGAGAGGCTCGTGTATCGCAAGTTTCTTGCAACGATTAAGTAGATAAAACAAAGTAGCATTACATTCAAAAATTTACTCGAGAACTTTCATTAAGAATCGAATATGAAACAAAGGTTTAAACCAAGTTCCAGTCTAAAAGTTGCATTCGTAATGTTAAGCTCAAGCTTTTGTTGTTTTTTTTCCAAACGAAAGGGTAAAAGAAGTAACTCAAAAAGTACTGGAAGTGGTCGTGAGACTAAGATGGACATCCAGCATCCTTTTTATAATCTGCTGTTAGTTATGTCTCCCGTAAACAATTTCATAGGGCCATAGTTCTAAGGGCGAAACAGTTCTTAGGAACTGTGAAGGCTCAGTCCTGTTGCATTCTAAATGAGAAAATAGTAATGAATTTAGTCAGAAATGTGGAATAGATAAATAACCAAATTACATGTATTTTAGCAAAGAATTTATGCAGTTGTGATTTACCTTTAGTTCATGAATATTAGGTCAGGTCAGCTATTTATTGTGCAAAGCATAACATGGACTTAATTCCGTATCTCAATGCTTTTATTATTTTGCTCTCATTTAAGTATTACCATGTATCTGCATCTAGTTTAACAGGGAGACATACAAGCAGAGTTAGTGTTTGATGAACTAAAAGTCCTAGTTGTCAAAAAGATTCTTAACCTTTGTCCACAGCCAACTGCATTTAATTGAAATACAGAACACTCATCTTCTAAGACTGTATACTGCTCTTCTACGGGCAAATAAAAGCTCAGATACTTAGCTATCCTGCTACCGATGTTATTGCTGGGGAAATTGTTTAATGACAGTGATCATGAAATATGGTCAGTGATAGATGTACAATCTAGAAATAAACACCAAACATACTTATCGCCATCTTATAATGTATGACAGCAACAGTACCAAAAGCACTTTTTTCCTATTTTTAATCAGACTGATTTGAATCAGTATACTCATCAGAAACAGGCAACTCTACTTACTAGGCTGATCTGTTTCGTTACAGACTTCAAGCACTATACCATAATTCTTTCAACTAAACTGAATTATACGACAACCAAGAATACTAAACTAAGCAAGTGTCATAGTTATTGTTTCATTTGCACAGGCATATTGCTTAAAGTAGTTAAGTGGACATAATTGAGACGATAAAATAAAAACACGAAATATAGGCCAATTGAACTTACCGAACAGAAGACAAAGAATATATATATATTGCTTTCCGACTGAAAACAACAGGTAGTTGTTCATAAAAACATAGTTTATAGTACAATAAACCTTTCTACAGTAAAATCATGCACTGACAGTCTATCTGGAAACAATCAGCTATGTGAATAAACTCACTATGACTTGAGATATCGTCCCAGCATGCAATGGACGTGCAGTGTAACGCAGTCGAACTTGACGAATAAAAATATAAAAAAAGATCAAAATTAGCTATATAATCCAGTTATTTAATTAAAAATACATTATGAGATGTCAAAATCTGTGGTTACTTGAACGCACAGATGACCGGTACATTAAGTTTACATGGTTGCGTTGCGGATAAGATCGCCCCCATCGACGACGTAGTAGAAGTCGACGTCGTGATCGTAGTAGGGGACATAAATCCAGACGACACCAGCTTCAACATCGGTCTTCCTCTAACTCTACGTCAGCACATAAATACTGGGATGTCCCACCACCTGGTTTTGAACACGTCACGCCTGCTCAATATAAAGCGTTGCAAACATCAGGTCAAGTACCGGTCAATGTGTATGCTGCAGGACAAGTGCCGATGCCAGTTCATGCTCCAAATGCTCCTCTAACACTTACTACCAATGTACCGTTTGCTGGAAGTGCTGTATGTAGGCAAGCTCGTCGTCTGTATGTTGGAAACATACCGTTCACAGCGACAGAAGATAATATGATGGAATTCTTTAACAAGCAAATGAGAGCTCAAGGTCTTATTCAGGCTGAGGGAAACCCCATAATTGCCGTGCAAATTAACATGGAGAAGAATTTTGCATTTCTCGAATTTCGTTCTGTTGACGAGACTACTCAGGGTTTGGCACTCGATGGGGTTCTATTCCAAAATCAAGCACTCAAGCTTCGCCGACCTCGCGACTACGCACCGTTGCCCGGTGTTTCTGAACAACCTTCAGTCATTGTTCCAGGAGTAGTAAGCACGGTCGTTCAGGATTCGCCACATAAGATCTTCGTTGGTGGTCTGCCTAATTATCTAAATGAAGATCAAGTTAAAGAGCTGCTTCTGAGCTTTGGTCCGTTGAAAGGATTTAATCTTGTTAAAGATGGTTCAACCGGTTTGTCGAAAGGTTACGCTTTTTGTGAGTATGTGGACGGTAATGTTACAGATCATGCATGCGCCGGTCTAAATGGTATGCAGTTGGGCGATAAGAAACTTATTGTCCAAAGAGCTAGCGTCGGAGCAAAGCACACAACGGGTGTCTTGCCCCATAGTTTACTGCAACTACCTGGCTTGGAAGATGGCGCAGTCCAAAACACAACCGGCTCGGGCAACCTGACAATCCGTAGTGGTGGACCACCGACGGAGGTTTTGTGCCTGATGAATATGATCGAGACATCAGAGTTGGAAGATGATGAAGAGTATGAAGATATAGTTGAGGATGTCCGCGCAGAATGTAGCAAGTATGGAGTCGTGCGGAGTTTAGAAATACCAAGGCCGATTCCTGGAATTGAGGTCCCTGGTGTTGGAAAAATATATATCGAATTCGCAAGCCTAATCGACTGCCAGAAAGTCACAACCGCTCTAACAGGTCGAAAGTTTAACCAGCGTCTGGTAATCAACTCATTCTTTAGTCCCAATAGTTATCAACGTAGAGAATTCTAACTGATTTGGCAATTGTTACCTGTATATAAAAGAAACATAGGACGTTCAACTAATTGCAGTTTATTCTGTTAGTAATATTGAATTGTGACATTTGAGGATTTGTTAAGAGTTAACTTATTGTATTGTGAGCGTTTGGTTGCTGTGTAATGAAGCGGACAAAAACGTATTAAGAGTTTGGTTGTGATTGTTATTTTATCATGATATATTTTTGCGCAGATTAACGAATGTTGGTTTGAATTTACAGTGATAAGCACGTTGTTGATGAGATAATCTGTCAAGCTCTAGAGAGACTGAACATTAATCATTGATAGAATGGTTGTGGTCGACCTGTGATTGATATAAGTGTTAAAGAAGCGAAGAAGAATTTTGTAAGCGTAGTGCACGTGAATGGTTAAAGTAATGTGAGACGAGTAGAAATTGTATGCTACATAGGTGAAGCGTGATGCAGTTGGATGAGACGTGAAGGCGAAATTTGAGAGTTAGTCGACGTGTATAAAAGGTTAATTATTTATTGTATATGATTTTTCGATGTGCTAAGATACTAATATCTTTACACAATGTAACTGAATTCACGCGAAGTTACAATCGAGGTGTGAATAAGAATGGAAGAACGATATAGCTGTCATAAGCAAAGACAAACAAAAGCACATTAAAACAAACAGTGTTAAATTTGGATATAATAATAATTGCTTTTATTAAACCAGTCGTGTTCTAGTAAAAAAAGTGAGTCACTACAAAGTAATGTGAGACGAGTAGAAATTGTATGGTACATAGGTGAAGCATGATGTAGTTGAGGGTGACGTGAAGGCGTATTTCAAGAGTGAGAGGATGTGTATGATTGTTTGTTGTGTGTGCTTTATCCGAATTCATGCTTGTTTTGTTCCTTTTGTTGCTAATCATCATCTTTCGCCGTCGCATTGTTACACGTTATCAACCTCGCAATAGTTGATATTTCTCTTTGTATTACGTTAACACCTTGCTCATAAATGCGAAAGTGTACGGTACCTTGTGATAGGGTTTCCATTCGTGTACCTCCAACTACCGTCTTACAATTTCAAAGTTTTTGAGCGATAGAAGTTGCACTCTTTTAGCCATGTGTTGAAGGGTTGTTTGTTAACACCTGGAGATTGTATACCGCTTGAATTCGACGGCACACTAACATTTCGAGATGATACTAGCTGAGACCGTATTCAAGGGTTAGTGGACATTTGCCGTTCCATAATTCATGTGTGGTACTTGATAGCTACCCACAGCTATGACTATCAGTGACGTGTAACTTCAAGCTAGTTCATCTGAGTAGTGAATTTGATGTCATCATAACATCACACTGGAAACCGTCTGAGATTATTTCAAAACATGGAAGTAATAATACGACGATTTCAGGTGACTTTTACAAGTATGGAAAGAAACGCTGAAAACTGACATCACGTATGTTCGGCTTACTCACTAGTCGCTCAACTATATAAAAATCACATCATTAGTAAAGTGCTTAAATTTTGTAAGCTGGTAAAATTAATTGTTTTATCAACAAACTCTAGTGTTATTATTCAATTATCGAATATTTTCTTTACTTTGTAGCGTGGCGTCGAGTCGAGATCGATTAAGAACACCACTACGAAGAAGGTCGTTCCAAATGACTTCATTAGATTCTCGAGAAGCCAAATATCAGAAGACAATTAATGGGCCAAATCGACGTTTATTTGCTGGCGATCTCGTGGCATCGAAAGGATACCGAGATCGTGCCAGGATGCAAGCTTGGTTACAGAACGTAACCGAATTCGCGCGAAGTTACAATCGAAGTGTGTGAACAAGAATGGAAGCACGATATAGCTATCATTAGCACAGTCAAACGAAAACACGTTAAAACGATCACTGGTACAATTGGTTGTAATAATAATTGTTTTTATTAAGCCAGTAGTGTTCTCGTGATAAAAGTGAGTCACTACAACTTATTGTCCTTTTTTGAGATGATTCGACAGAGCATCACACTAAAAGTTGAGGTTTCCATTTTCATTTTGCCTGACGTTTTGCAACTACAATGAACAACGAGTGCTGAGGGTTTGTGACAATGGGTAGATATAACAGCAGTGTATGAATGAGCAGAAATAAACTAGCATGCGCTAACTCGTCATAAACGTGGTGTATTTATAAAATGAAAAACATAAATGAGTTTCTAGAATCGATCTTCATTAAGAGGACTAAAGAATTTCTATAGTGAACACTTTCTCTTGGAACATTTGTAATTTTGTTTTATGAAATTTGTGGTTTTGTGTTATTTTGTTTAAACGTGTCCGGGCTCTTTTCAGTTAAGCTGACTTTCGAAAGCAGACATAGTACGTTGTTCGTTTTCGCTGTTGTTCTCTTCGTTCAGATTCGTTAACTGACTAATTATAGCTTAACCTGTGTCCACTTAGCAAGGTTTATGTAAAGAAATTCATTCTAGTTTGCACTGTTTTTCATTTTAGCATACTTTCAAATGTTTTTAGGTACAAGGAGTTCATATTCCAATGGCCGAATACTACAGCCGAGACAATGGCACACCAGTGGATCGTGGTAACATGGAGGTCTGTCACAAGTCCGAAGACAATTGTACTACGGTTGCTGGCAAGGAGTATCGTCAACCCCACTATAACCATGTAAACAATAAGGATGATTGTCGTCTGATTTCTGCATCCAGTGAGAAGAGACAGTCACCTCAGACAAAATATGACTCCAGAGACAATGGTCGAAGTCGCAGTAGCAAGCGCGGACGACGTTCACGTAGTCGTGACCATCGACGACGTAGTAGAAGTCGACGTCGTGATCGTAGTAGGGGACATAAATCCAGACGACACCAGCTTCGTCATCGGTCTTCCTCTAACTCTACGTCAGCACATAAATACTGGGATGTCCCACCACCTGGTTTTGAACACGTCACGCCTGCTCAATATAAAGCGTTGCAAACATCAGGTCAAGTACCGGTCAATGTGTATGCTGCAGGACAAGTGCCGATGCCAGTTCATGCTCCAAATGCTCCTCTAACACTTACTACCAATGTACCGTTTGCTGGAAGTGCTGTATGTAGGCAAGCTCGTCGTCTGTATGTTGGAAACATACCGTTCACAGCGACAGAAGAGAATATGATGGAATTCTTTAACAAGCAAATGAGAGCTCAAGGTCTTATTCAGGCTGAGGGAAACCCCATAATTGCCGTGCAAATTAACATGGAGAAGAATTTTGCATTTCTCGAATTTCGTTCTGTTGACGAGACTACTCAGGGTTTGGCACTCGATGGGGTTCTATTCCAAAATCAAGCACTCAAGCTTCGCCGACCTCGCGACTACGCACCGTTGCCCGGTGTTTCTGAACAACCTTCAGTCATTGTTCCAGGAGTAGTAAGCACGGTCGTTCAGGATTCGCCACATAAGATCTTCGTTGGTGGTCTGCCTAATTATCTAAATGAAGATCAAGTTAAAGAGCTGCTTCTGAGCTTTGGTCCGTTGAAAGGATTTAATCTTGTTAAAGATGGTTCAACCGGTTTGTCGAAAGGTTACGCTTTTTGTGAGTATGTGGACGGTAATGTTACAGATCATGCATGCGCCGGTCTAAATGGTATGCAGTTGGGCGATAAGAAACTTATTGTCCAAAGAGCTAGCGTCGGAGCAAAGCACACAACGGGTGTCTTGCCCCATAGTTTACTGCAACTACCTGGCTTGGAAGATGGCGCAGTCCAAAACACAACCGGCTCGGGCAACCTGACAATCCGTAGTGGTGGACCACCGACGGAGGTTTTGTGCCTGATGAATATGATTGAGACATCAGAGTTGGAAGATGATGAAGAGTATGAAGATATAGTTGAGGATGTCCGCGCAGAATGTAGCAAGTACGGAGTCGTGCGGAGTTTAGAAATACCAAGGCCGATTCCTGGAATTGAGGTCCCTGGTGTTGGAAAAATATATGTCGAATTCGCAAGCCTAATCGACTGCCAGAAAGCAGCAACCGCTCTAACAGGTCGAAAGTTTAACCAGCGTCTGGTAATCACCTCATTCTTTAGTCCCAATAGTTATCAACGTAGAGAATTCTAACTGATTTGGCAATTGTTATCTGTATATAAAAGAAACATAGGACGTTCAACTAATTGCAGTTTATTCTGTTAGTAATATTGAATTGTGACATTTGATGATTTATTAAGAGTTTACTTATTGTATTGTGAGCGTTTGGTTGCGGTGTAATAAAGCGGACATAAACATATTAAGAGGTTGGTTGTGATTGTTATTTTATCATGATATATTTTTGCGTCAATTAACGAATGTTGATTTGAATTTACAGTGATAAGCACGTTGTTGATGAGATAATCTGTCAAGCTCCTGAGAGGCTGAACATTAATCATCGATGGAATGATTGTGGTCGACCTGTGATTGATATAAGTGTTAAAGAAGCGAAAATGAATGGTGCAAGCGAAGTGCACGTGAATGGGTAAAGTAATGTGAGACGAGTAGAAATTGTATGCTACATAGGTGAAGCGTGATGCAGTTGGAGGAAACGTGAAGGCGTAGTTTAGGAGTGAGAGGACGTGTATGATTGGTTGTTGTGTGAGTGTATGTGAAATGTTGTTGTGGTTACTGGTGTTGGTGGTTGCGTAGATTGATGATGCTGATGTGGAATGAAGGAGATGTTAGTGCGCTTCCACTCTACTTGTAATTGTTGTTATTAGTGTTAATGTATATAAGAATTGTAAGTGTGATGAGGCGTTGTTGTTCAGTGTGTGATGAGATGTGTTTACGTATTGCGAAATGTATTGATAGTGATATTGAAGTGTGACGCTTGATGATTTGTTGAGAGTTTACTTATTGTATTGTGAGCGTTTGGTTGCGGTGTAATGAAGCGGACAAAAACGTATTAAGAGTTTGGTTGTGATTGTTATTTTATCATGATATATTTTTGCGCAGATTAACGAATGTTGGTTTGAATTTACAGTGATACGCACGTTGTTGATGAGATAATCTGTCAAGCTCTAGAGA